TGAAGTTACAAACAAGATTTTAGCTTCTTTAACAGTGTCCAATACTATTCAATCTCCTACCAAAAATGCACTTAACTTATAGCGTGCATAGCTGAGAATGTAATCACAGGCGTGCAACATTTAGTGGTGTTGATTCAAATATGTAGATTATGTGAGCTGAACACAAACTTTTCTGTTTGCAGCTCCAAAGGGGTTCTTTCGCGTACTTGACTCTCACTCACAAGTCATGCCGAAGGGGGGATTAAGGTTAGCAAGTTTGATATTATAAATTCTTTCAAGTAGAATGCAACAAGGACTTTCTTATCTCCTCTTTGCAGATTGCTGTTGTAATACAAGTGAGAACTTATCAGATCCATTGCTATTTTTGCAGGTACACTGAAATGTGTTCAAGATGTTGAACTTGAAAACAAATATTTTGTATTAATTCGGGTCCTCTGAAACGTAATACCTTTGTTGTACATTACTTGCAATAAAGTTTATTGAGATAAATTAATAGTTTGTGAAATTCTTCGTTCTTCATTTAGCATCGTGCACCTCATATGATGCACTGCATTTTAAGCCACATTGCTGCTTCATATCCTGTTTGGTAGGGATTAATAATTAATTTTAAACACATTTAAATTCGAAAATCACAACTTTTCAATCACATATTTCATTAATTTTTATTAAAATTTATTAAAAAATTGACTTTAATTCCCATCAAATACGAGCTTTATAAGCAAACTTAAAAAATGTTTTCTAGTAGTCAAGCTTGTGCCTTTAAATTGTAGAATGAGTTAAATATTGGGTTTCAACAGGACGGCAATGGAAGAGGGGCGGGATTAAAGAATTAGAAATGATCTCCTATTAAAGAATTTTATTTTATTTTTGGTTTCAAATTTAAATTGTATTTTAAAAAAATAAGAAATATATATTAAATACATAAATAGGGAACTAAATGCGGTATTTTATACCTATGCCCCTTCGGGTCTCTCAATTCCTAATGAATATAGATAAAGCACTTCTAAAATATTACTCAAGGATATTTAGAAGCATTTTCTGACTCTAAAAAGTCTTGTCAAACGGGCATGTAATGAAGATTGAATGCAAATAGAAATTAAAAATCGTCCAATCAAGTTTCGAGATATTTGTTAGTATACATGTCTAAATCCCACTCCTATTTGAAGCAAGAGAATGACGGATGGAAGACAGAATGAGCCCAATTTTTTCGAAAATAATAATAATTGCAATAGTGATTTTTTTAAGAATGTGACTAAATTTGGGGTTAGCGTGTATAATTGCAATAGTGATTCAAGTCAAACAACCAGTCTCCACAAAGCCAACCAATCATAAACTTACCTAGAAATCCAAAGAAATCCTTCAAGAACCGAAATAACACTCCTCTAAAATTTAAGTGATACTGAAATAGATGAGAAAAGGAGTAAAGGGCTGTCTTTATCCCTGGCCATGAATTTCAAAATAAAAAGTTACACATGATAACAATACAAGAAGCCAGTGGAGATGAGGAGAGTGAAGTAGCCAGCATACAAGCAGATAATGAACATGGAGAAGATAATATTGAAGGGCCAAGGGTCTCAGTTTTTGCTATGTGGGGACAAGAGGCTGCCAACTCTGTGCAGACTATGAGAGTGCTGGGTATGCACAAGAAAACAAGGTTACACATTTTAATAGATACTGGAAGCACAAATAATTTTTTAGATGCCAAGATTGCTAAGGCATTGGGCTGTAAATTGACTGCAATTCCACCTATTAAAGTAGAGGCAGCAGGTGAAAAAGAATTCTTTTGTACTGCAGTCTGCCGACAGTGAGAATGGGAGTTACAAGGTGAAAATTTAAAGGCTGATTTTTATGTAATTCCTTTCGGGGCAACTGAGATGGTTTTGGGTATGCAATGGATGTCTTCCTTAGGGTATATCACATGGAACTTGAGCAAGTTAAATATGAAATTCCATGTCAATAACAAAAAGAGTTGGAGCTAAAACGATTACAGCAAGCAGAATTCAGGCACGTCCCTGAATTCAAATTGATGGAGAAAAGGCCCAGTGAGGTGGATAGAACTATTCAATTCTTCCATGTCACAATACAACCTCAATCACCTCCAAAATTTACAGAACAGCCAAGCAAGCATGCTTATAAAGAGGTACACATCTCGGAAACTCATAAACATCATCTGGAAATAGTTCTTACTACTAAGGGCCAATAAACTCTTTGCAAAAAGATCAAAATGTGTTTTTGGGGGTACTAAGGTTGAGTATTTGGGCCACATTATTTCTGTCCAAGGAGTGTCTACTGACCCTACCAAGATTAGAGCAGTGGAACAATGGCCCATACCTGCAAATTTAAAACAGTTAAGGGGATTTTTGGGGCTTACAGGTTACTACAGAAGATTTCTCCACCAGTATAGCACCATTTCTAGGCCATTAACTGATTTACTAAAGAAAGACAAGTTCTTTTGGAATGATGCAGCCCAACAAGCATTTCAAGCCTTGAAATCAGCCCTAATCACAACACCAGTACTAGCTCTACCAAATTTCAATGAGAAATTTGTAGTAGAAACGGATGCCTCTACTGAAGGCATGGGAGCTGTCTTGATGAAAAAGGGTCACCCCATTGCTTATATTAGCAAGGGATTTTCTCCAAAGAACAGGTTGTTGTCGGTATATGAGAAAGAATTGTTGGCTATTGTATTTGTTGTAACTAAATGGCAGCATTACCTCACGGGAAAGCCTTTCATCATCAATACAGACCATCAAAGCCTGAAGTACTTGGTGGAACAGAGGACAGCCACTGGCAGTCAAGTCAAATAGTTAACCAAATTAATGAGGTTTGAGTTTGAAATAATATATAAGAAGGGAAATGACAATGTGGCAGCAGATGCTTTATCAAGGGTTAAAACTGCAGACCTGCATACATTAGCTATTTCAACAATTCAAAATTATCTGTTAGATCAAATTAAATTGAGCTGGCAACAAGATCATTACCTACGGGGAATAATTCAACAATTGCAGGTCTCTTCTCTTTCCAATTCACGGTACACATGGCAGAATGATCTTTTATTGTGGAAGGGCAGGTTAGTGGCAGGAAATGATGCTAACCTCAAGGCTCAGTTAGTCTCCAATTTTTGTGATGTTCCCACAGCTGGGCACTCAGGCATTTTGGTCACCACTAAAAGGCCGACTCCTGTTTTCTTTTGGAAGGGAATGGAGAGGGATGTTCATAATTATGTTAGAAGTTGTGAGGTCTGCCCAGTGTAAACATGAGCAAATAGCTTACCCAGGCTTGTTGCAGCCACTGCCAATTCCAGAAGGAGTGTGGACTGATATCGCCATGGACTTTATTGACGGTTTACCTAAATCATTGGGCAAGAATGCCATCTTGATGGTAGTAGACAGGTTAAGTAAGTATGCTCATTTCATTGGACTCACTCACCCTTTCACTGCTGAAACAGTTGTGAAATCCTTCTTGGATAATGTGTTTAAATTACACGGAATGCCTACTTCAATTGTAAGTGTTAGGGACTCTAACCTCACTCACCCTTTCACTGCTGAAACAGTAGTGAAATCCTTCTTGGATAATGTGTTTAAATTACACGGTATGCCTACTTCAATTGTAAGTGATAGGGACTCTATTCTTAAGCAACTTCTGGCAGGAATTGTTTAAAATTCAAGGAGTCACATTAGCTCATTCTACCGCCTATCATCCTCAGACAGATGGGCAATCTGAGGTAGTTAATAGGTGCTTAGAGACTTATCTCAGGTGTATGACTTTTGACCAACCTGGGAACTGGTTCAAGTTTTTGTCCCTTTCAGAGTATTGGTATAATAACAACGGCCACTCAGCAGCACAGACTACTCCATTTGAAATTTTATATGGATATCCCCCACCCATACGTATTCCTTACTTTCACAAGGACTTTAATGTACAAGCTGTCGATCAGATGTTAACTGACAGGGAAGCCACATTACAGCTCTTGAAGTATCATCTATCTCGAGCTCAGAAAAGAATGCAGCAGATGGCCAATAGAAGGAGGACTGAGAGAGTTTCAAATTGGAGAGACTGTTTTTGTTAAGCTGCAAGCCTTATAGACAGCACTCTCTTCAAAAGCACACTAATCAGAAACTCTCTCCTATATTCTATGGACCCTTAAGGTTCTTGATAAAATTGGCAATGTGGCTTACCAGCTGGATTTACCCCCTTCTACCAACATTCATCCTACCTTCCATATTTCTCAGCTCAAGAAACATGTGCCTTCCAATAAAACCATTAATCCTCTGTTACCCATTGCTAGTTTGTCTCGCAGACTGGTTAAGAGACAACATCAAGCAGCCACCCAAGTATTGATTCAAAGGAGTAATTTTGCAGTTGAGGATGCTACTTGGAAGTACTTTGACGATCTTGCGGTCAGATTCCCAGGTCTGACTCTTGAGGACAAGAGTCCTTAAGAGGGGGGCTTTGTCACATGGAATATTAACTCCAGATTATTTGAAATCTAGTAAAAGGGCAGGAGGAGTTCAAGTTAGTTAGAAATTTGTTGTTAGTCAGAAGTCTGTTGTTAGTTGTTAATGGTTGTTAGTCAACTGTCACTAATTGTCTATAAAGTCAGCTAAGGCACTCTGTCATTGAGACATTCAGATTGTGAAATAAACCAGAATTCTACTTTTCTCTCAATTTGCATTATCCCCTTCCCCCATTTCTAATTTTGCTTTGTGCCAGAATCATACATTTTTAGCATCAGATTCGACATGGAACTAGACTTCTCCAGGGAGCAGTCTCCGGAGGTCAAACAAAGCCTAGAAAGATGCTACTCAATACCATTTGAAACTAAAAGTTCAACTGCAAGAATTTATATTCCACAAAAAAATTTATATATTTTGTGGTACACAGTAACACAGAAGTAATAGAGACTGACTGACTATACACTGATTAAATGAAAAAGAAAAAATGGTACTTTGAACTGGTCGCACTTGATGCATTGAAACAAGTGAAGAAAGATAATCACTCTACAAAAATTCTTCTGCTTTGTTTAAGTCGCATAAGATTTCAGACTTAATCTCCTCTGGAAGGGGAGCAGATGGCCCTGCCTTCGAGTAGAAGCCGGCAAGAGATCTAATGGCCTTCTCAAGCACAACATATGATTCCTGCATCAAGGGTTCAAACGACATAAAATAACGATAATTATTTCAATGAGAGGTAAAACATTGATGTATCAATACCCTCCTGACATGTTTTGTACTGCTGAATAATTGACAAGATTTTGACTTCTTTTTCCTTCTTAGTCATGTCCACTATGAATCAGTTCAACTTATCAAACATGTCAACAGTTTATGTTTGATGTAAAAGAATTATCATGCCCTTTTTTGTGTGGGCAATTTGCTACACAAGCACATTCTCTTTTAGTTTTTTTTTGTCTATTTACTTGCTCCGTGTGAGGTCTGTGTGTTTTGGGAAAATTCCAAAGAAGGGTGGTTATATATACATCAGTAACACTATAACAGTGCTTTAGGGACTAAGGCTGTGGAATATGAGAGCAAAGGGTTTTGGGGAGTGGTTGTGGTTGTGGTTGTGGTGGTGGTGGTGGTGGTGGTGGGGAAGTAAGTGATGGCATGAAGGGGGGAAAGGAGATTGTTTTGGAAGGTGACTGAGTGTTGGGAAAGCACAATAGTTTGAAACGGGGATTAATTTCTTCCTCCTGTGCAATTGTGAAGCCAAATTCATGCTGCTCCCCTGTACAATTGATGTTCATAAAAAGAGGGATAAATGGTTGTGGTGGAACAAAAAAGTGTTTTATGTCAAATAAAAATGTTGAAAAAGTGTGTTACTTATGTCCTTTTACTTATGACCATTGTAGTAAATAAAAAATGTTTAAAAGTGTGGTGTAACAAACGAAAACCGTGATGGCAATTTAGCCACCCAACAAAGAAAGCATTACGTATAATCCTTCAATTGACTTTTCTATCCTTTCCAACAAAGAGACAATAATAACCTTCTATTTAAAGCAGAGAGAGGCACTATAAGAACAACATTTTAACATATTTTTCTTCTTTAATATTGCCCAAATATTATTATCCATTACTCATTACCAAACATACCACAAAAATGGCTGAATAATCGTGCAAAATCTCAAACTCTTCTAGACTCTCTTTTAAGAATTGGTAACAGATCCATGCCTTAAAATATATTTTCCAGTTTACCAGATTTATTTGTATGTTAAGCATATATGTCTGCAGCAAAAAAAAATCACCTACTCGACTATTTTTCATCCTGTAAAAGTTAGTCAAACGAAATTACCTCGTTGACAACTGTCTTTTGCCCTCTCCAACCAATCAGATATTCTCTAATCGACTCCTTTGCCGCGTCAGCTGTTCGTCTAAATTTAGCAATATCCTTCGAATCTTCATTTAATGATTCGCGCAGTGTCTTCACCACCTCTCTCGCTGATTTCAAGTAAGCCTTTGGCAAAACTTTTCCAGATTTTGTCTTCTCATTCGGATCGAACAAGGACTTCATAGTCCCAAGCACTCCATCATTATTATCATCCAAGGCATTTGATTCTTCCCCAGCCCAAGCAGGCAATTCGACTAACATGCAATTCAAGTTGAGAAATGCACATGAAGAAATGGCACCACATCCTAAGACAAACTGGCGGCGAGTTGATGCTTCTTCTGACAAGAACATAGCATGACACCTGAATTGCAGTCTAGCTGTTTTGTAGTGAAAACAATAGAGCAGTTAAGGACAATGCAAAGAACACGTGGAAAGCAACAGAAGTAGACGAATAAAACATCTCTCAAAGTTCAATGAAATGAATAAAAGCATAACAGAAAGTAATCGCACTATATTTTTTTTTTTTTGAAAGGTAGAAAGTAATCTCACTATATGCACTGGAAAGGATTCAAACTAGTTCGACTGCAGCAAGTGTGCATGGCTCTCACATTGATGGTGAATAGCTAATTTTGTTTGCCCATTTTCGTTTCTTTCATTGCTCTTATAAACGGGAATTACAACTTATCCATGACGGAAGCCATTTTGGGGAGTGAATCATATCATGAAACATAGGCCCGTCTAACGAAGGTACTAAAACCTTGTAGCTGGTCTTAAAATTTTGGTCTCTGCCTATTGCCGGGATGTGTCACTTATTTCCTCAATTGACTAATCACACTCCTTCGCACTACCATACCCCCTCAATAAGAGGCATCAAAGGCCCACGTCAAAACTTCGAATTTCGACTATCAACCATACTCAAATTCATGGCAAAGATGGATATATAAAAAAATGCTGCAGAAACTCAAATTCAAGCTACCAATCCTCATATAATTTCTGGAAATATAACATAAAAAACATAACTCGAACTCACCAGATTTGCGAATATGCCCAACTGAATTAAAAATGGCAAGTGGGCACATCTTCATTGCAAGAAAAGATGCCATAATTGCTTTAAATCCTACCAAAGTTGAGTGGCAGTTTCTTCTTGGCTCGTTCTGCACAATGAGTCGGGAAATATCTACATAAAACAAATTTGTAAAAGTTCAAATCTGTTTTAGAAATAAATAAAACCCACAATTTCAATCATCAAATATCTAGCAGAGCTTAATTATTGAACACATTAACAATTCAAAATCAAATCAAATGCATATAAAGCTCTTAAAACAGGTGTCTGAAAATATTTTTTCTTTCAACCAAAGCGTACGCATAATTCTTTTTCTTTTACCTGAGCAGAGTTCAGAAGTGTGCCTGTCGGTTTCTGCGTCCAACAGGAAACCATCTCAAGATTTCAGTGTGACGTTATTTTATCCAAATTGAAAGTGAAAGAAATTTCAGAATATCTTCGGGGGTAAATTAGTCATTGCGATTACGGCGCTGGCTAATTTTGTGGTCCGACAAAAAGGTTATTATACTCATTTCAAACAGGGGATTTTTTATCCTCATTTTTCTCTTTTTTTTTTAATCACACGTTCTTTATTAAAATAGTATTACACGTAAATTAAGAATTTTTCCTTTTTTTTAACTACACATTCTCTATCAATTTACTATTATAAAATATATTTTTAAAAACTAATGGGGCTCAAACACCCCCTGATATTTTCTGCATTTATTTTGTGTCGTATTCTTATTTTCAATCAATCAATATGTACTAATTATTAAAAAACTGAAAACAAGAATGCGGTGGGAGGAAAAAAAATGCCAAAAATAATGAAATATAACTAATTAGAGGGTCTGGTAGTTCTATAAATAGAATTAATAGAAACTCTCTAGTGTGGAAGTCTACAAAAATATTATTCTTTCCTTGTATATGTAGAATTTTGAAATCAAAACAAAACAAAATAGCTTGTCATCTTGCAAAAATATGTTTTGGCACAAAGTTTTTCACATCTTTCTGTAGAACATCTTTCGATGCTTTACAGTCTGTTTTTAAAATAAATGTTTTATTGATTAAATTGTATTGAAATTTTGAAACACAAAGAAAAATTAAAAGAACTTATGTTTTGACTGTTGAATAATTATTTTGAGAACCAGTCCAAACACCGGAATAGTAACGGACTAATTATTCTTGATTCGACCCTTTTGGAATCTGCTTTAAGACTCTACAAAATCCTAAGTCTGACGCATCAGTCTTGACAACAAGATCAGCACAAGGATCAAAAATAGAAAGACGTAGGAAAGAAGAATAGTCAATTTGAGGTCCAGTCCAAACACCAGAATAGTATCGGACTAACAGTTCTTGATTTCACCCTTTTGGAATCTGCTTTAAGACTCTACCAAATCCTAAATCTGATACATAGGTCTCAACAATAAGACTAGCATCTACATCAATAATTGAGAGACAATAAATATTTCTTATGACTTTTTGAAACTTTGAACAGTTAAGGTACACTCATGACTCCATGGTTTTAGATTTTTATGTAGTCTTTTGAAAAGAGGTGCACAAAGTAGTCTACTACTTTTGACAAAATTAGACACATAATTAACTTATCTAAGAAATTTCTGTAGACTAGTTTTATCAAGAATTTGATCGGGAAATTTATCAGTAAAATCTAAACTTCTTTGAATATGTGTAATTGTACCTTGAAAAATTGTATGTCCAAGAAATCTTATTTTAGTTTGACAAAGAACAATTTTCTTAGCAGAAACTGCTAATTCATTATTTCTAACAATATTGCATATGATCTACAGTGGTATTATACTTTAAGTTTATTTTGTCTAAGTATGTCTTCTTTGTCAGGTTAGTTTAGAGGGTCTAGTAGTTCTAGAAATAGAATTAATAACTTGTTCTAGAAATAGAATTAATAACTTGTCAAACAATTTTCAAAATGATGAAGAAATTGATCAAAATTTCGAGTCTTCTTTGAATAATTTCAATTCGAATGAACTTCAAATTGCTCAAATTGAGCGCAGACTATATAACTGGACTATTCATAAGGTAGAGAAAATGCTATCTATGAAATAGGAAAGTTTGATTTTACTCAAAATTATGTCATCAAAACTTTTGAACAAACTCTAGCTATCAAAAATCAAAATACTGAGATTACTCTACTTTCAAAAGAATCTATTCAAGAACATAGAAAGAAATTTCAATTTTTGCATATTGGTCTTATGACCAATATCTTTGGTCAAAATCTGTTTTTTAAATTTACAAATCATCCTTCTTAAAAATATGTTAATTCTCTTAAGCAAGCTCCTATTTCTCAAATTAGTAACACTATAAATTTCAAAAAACCACATTTCGTTTTCTTAAAGAAGAAATTAAATTTCAAAGGATTAATGATCAATTGCAAAATTCTTCAAATAAAGAAAAAATTTCTCAATTTCTTCAAAATTCGAAAGAGAAGTATGTTCTACTATTCCTAATGCATTTTGGAATAGACAAAAACATATTGTTTCTCTTCCATACAATTCTAATTTTCATGAATCGACGATTCCTACTAAGTCAAGACATATTCAAATGAATAAGGAACTTCTTGATTACTGTACCAAAGAAATCAAAGATTTACTTGAAAAGGGATTAATTCGTCCTAGTAAATCTCCTTGGAGTTGCTCTACATTTTATATGCTTAATCAAACAGAAATAGAACGTGGTGCTCCAAGACTTGTAATTAATTACAAGCCCCTCAATTCTGTCATTCAATGGATTATATATCATCTTCCTCAAAAGAAAGATCTTTCGAATAAATTATTCAAAGCGGTTATATTTTCTAAATTTGATATGAAATCTGGCTTTTGGCATATACAAATCAAAGAAGAAGATAGATATAAAACTGCTTTTAATGTTCCATTCGGACAGTATGAATGAAATGTTATGCCATTTTGGTCTCAAAAATGTCCCTTCAGAATTTCAAACAATCATGAATGATATCTTCAATCCTTATCAAAATTTTGTTATTGTTTATATTGATGATGTTTTACTTTATTCTGAAAGTTTAGAACAACATTTCAAGTATTTAAATATCTTTTTCAATATTGTTAGAAATAATGGATTGGCAGTTCCTGCTAAAAAAATTGTTCTTTGTCAAACTAAAATAAGATTTCTTGGACATACAATTTTTCAAGGTACATTACACCTATTCAAAGAAATTTAGATTTTATTGATAAATTTCCTGATCAAATTTTTGATAAAACTAGTCTACAGAGATTTCTTGGATGCGTTAATTACGTGTCTTATTTTGTCAAAAGTAGTAGAATACTTTGTGCACCTCTTTTCAAAAAACTATAGAAAAATCCAAAACCATGGGGTCATGAGTGTACCTTAACTTTTCAAAGTATCAAAAAAGCCATAAGAAATTGATTGTCTCTCAATTATTGATCCAGATGCTAGTCTTATTGTTGAGACCGATGCATCAGACTTAGGATTTGGTGGAGTCTTAAATCAGATTCCAAAAGGGTCGAATCAAGAACAATTAGTCCGTTACTATTTCGGTGTTTGGACTGATTCTCAAAATAATTATTCAACAGTCAAAAAAGAAATTCTTTCAATTATTCTTTGTGTTTTCAAATTTCAAGATGATTTAATTAATAAAACTTTCATTTGAAAAACTGATTGTAAAGCCTCAAAAGACGTTCTTCAAAAGGATGTTAAAAATCTTATTTCCAAACATATCTTTGCTAGATGGCAAGTTATTTTGTCTTGTTTTGATTTCAAAATTCTATTTACCTGGAAAAACTAATGTTCTTGCAGATTTACTCACAAGAGAGTTTCTTGCATCAAAAAGAGAGATTTCGAGTGAAAGTGAGAACACCCCAAAAGGAGAGAAAAACAAAAGAGTGCCAACATAGATTGGTACAACAAAGTTTTGGATATGGCTTCTTCCGCCTCAACTACTTCTTCAAAAAAAAAAAATAAATAAATAAAACCAAAATTCCTTTACCAACCCCTTCAATTATTGAGTTTATTCAAAAATCCAACAAAAATACCCTTGATTCAAAACAATCTTCTTCAAATACCCAAAATCTTTCTTCAAATAAATTCTCTGTTTTTAACAAGAATCCTCAAACTCCAGAAAAACCTTCAAATTACAAAAAAGCTACTCAAGTTGGTTCTGGTAAACTTCCTGAAATCAACCCAAAACCTTTTCAATATTTTACAAAAAATTACTTGGAATCAATTATTACAATGGAACCATCCTGGATTGAAAAATATTCAGATCTCAATGAATGTCTTTCTAATATTTTTCCTCCATCATTTCAATATCTTCCATATTCACTTCAAAAACCTCGCTAGTTTTATGAAAAGGCCCTTCTCAAAACTAGATCAGCAGTTATTACTCACACTCCAAATAAACAAAATCCCAAAAATATCGATTTCTCAAAAATATCAATATGCAAAGTGTTGTCACTTGAAGACTGGGGTCAACACTCTTAGAATGAAAAGAAAATGAGCCTCTCAAAAGGTGAAGATTTTTCTTCTCATTTTAGTTATCTTGAAAAGAGCAAAAACAAAATTGCTCTTCCTTCTCCATCAATCACTGAATACATTCAAAATTCTAACAAAAATTCTTTAAATTCAAAATATTCATCTTCCAATAACATAGCTCTTTCTTCAAATAAATTTTCCGTGCTTGGAAAATCTTCTCAAATTCCATAAAAGCCTTCAAACTACAAAAAGGCCATTCAAACTGGTTCTGAAAAACTTCCAAAAATTAACCCAAAACCTTTTCAATATTTCATCAAAAATAAAGTTCTTACCTTTTCAATATGAAAACAACCTGGATTGAAAAAATATTCGGATCTTACTGAATGTCTTTTCGATCTTTTTCCCCCATCTTTTTATTTTCTGCCAAATAGTCTTCAAAAACTCCGAGAGTTCTACAAAAAGATCATACTCAAAATCGGATCTGATGTGAATACTCACACTCCAAATAAACATAATCATCAATATATTGACTTCTCAAAAATTTCAATTTGCAAAGTG